CTCTAATTTCTTTCAAGGCATAGCGATATATTTATCAAATATATTTATTGTTAATATCTGTGCTTCATATTACCTCCGAAACTTCTTATTTGTCAGAACCGTCGACAACACGTCGGAACTATGTAGAACTTATTATATCGCAGGTAATTGGCAGGTATATAGGTGTTTCGTACGCCGCGCGAAAATACTTAATTGTTTGCAAACTCGTGTACCGTAACATTTGCATAACAATGTTAAGCTTATTATGTTCGGAGCAAATCATCGGTTCGTCAAAATCGAATCTTAAACGAGTCTGCGCTTCATGTGAACCGCCGCTGTCATAGTTTCTCGATAGGGATATCGGCATAATCTTGGGAGATTACAAGCCATTCACTACCTACATAATTCTCCGGGATTTCGATCAATCCGCGAGTACGTGATTCAGTGATTAGTTTCAATTTGCTGCATGTAATATCGGTGAGAATATTAATTAATTACTTAGAGTAATGATGACATATTTGCATGTGCTTTATAGGAAAAATTATAGATGTTACTTTCAACTTTAACTCGTGACTAGATATGGGTCCTAGTAATCCTGAGATATTTCCTAATTTTTAAATGCCATAATAATTCGGAATAATTTTATATTTTATTATCTTACATTTCACAGTTTTGTTCTATCTATTTTAATGCTAATTATCGTAATATATTTATATTAAGTTCAAGTATTGCAATTTTTTATACAATTAGTTAAAATTTCTAAAAAAAAACTTTAGTACTCCATATGTTTTTATTTCAAAATATAAAATTTCTTGAGCTTATACAAACTAAATTTTATGTAACAGTTAAAACTGAAAATAAAAGATAAAAATGTTAATAATTTATTTGTAATATCAAATAAACTTACGGCTTTTGCATACAGGAAACGCTTTACTCTGTTGCATGGCACGTAGGAATGCAATCAGTTTACCGCCAATCAATTTATCGCTTTTCTAAAAAAAAACGATTGGCTACCTTTGCTTCCTGCCGCATGAGCAAACTTCAAATACCTATAAAATTCACTTTAAATATATAATTTACTAATTTAATGCAACTGCTACAAAAAATAAATTTAATATGGTATTGTTATATTTCTTAGCAAAACACTTGATTATATACACATATATATATATGTATTCAAGATTGTCAATATATATGATTTCTATTCAGACCTCTTAGTTTCAAAATTTTCGAATAATTCGTGTTCGAATCATAGCGATTCAAATTCAAAGCAAATTGAATCTTGATTCGATTCGTATTCGAATAGTTCGCACATCTCTAACTGCTCGAAGTCATGCAGTCAAAATCTACATTAAACACTCTACATTACAATCTACATTACAAATCTTAAATTAAAAATTACGAATGTAAATAAGAACAATCGAGGATCAAGACAATTGTAAATTTCAGACAAAAGAACGACACAGGTTGCGATGCCAAAATAGTGCGATATCGCACTGTCCAACGCTTGTCGATAGTGCAGGTGTTGGAAGGTGTACAATGTACGATCCGTATCCCTTTTAGCCGCGGGTATTAACGTATACCCTCCGCCTTCTGATCTTTGTTCACAGATTGAAGCAGTAAGTGGAATGTCGGCGTAAACTAGAAATAGTTACTGCCACAAAGACTGCCAACCAACGCCACGACGGCGACCACTCTGACGGTAACCTACCTCCCGCGAAGTTTCGCTTTAGCACTTGCAACGACCACACTAATGCGCTTAATTGTTACTACATGCAGATAGGATACAGATATCAGATTTCTTAATAAAGTCAGTGGAATATCATGGTTATGCGCCGCGATTATGGATCACGATAGTTATTTTAAGACAATAAGTTTTATATATATTTTTTTTTTCCAGTATGATCAAAGAAAATTTTTTTAAAAACGTACAAATTATATAAAAAATTAAATAATTAAAAACTCCTTCGTAGTCATTAAGATGTACTTTAACAACTTACTAAATAATTAGATTTTCTATAAAAGGATCTCTTGGTTCTCGTCGCTTTGAGTTTCGTTTCTTTTTTTTCTTTTTTTCTTTATGGTCAAAAAATTCACGATTTACATCTTTGCATCTATTACGGAGAAGAAAATATGCTAGAAAACTGTTTCGTTTGAGAGCTAGTCGCTGAAGATCTTGATACGAGATTAAAAGGCGTTTTAACGAGGTCATCATCATCATGATGGGCACGCCCAAGTTGGAAACACCTGCGAAGCGTGCTTCGTTTTCTGGGCGGGCCATACACAACCATTTGCAACTGCATGAAAATTGCAAGATACGGCGAAAATTGCTCTGTGCCCTCGCTCGAACGCCTTCACCCACATCTCGAGTTTACGGCTTGTGCATTGCACCGTGAAGGCGAATCGAGGGCGGCTGAATCGAGACCCCCTAAGACATCGATGATCGATACGATACTGAGGGAGAGACATGCTTCTTTAACACGCTACTTTCTTCGAAGTATTCGAGCGAAAATACCGTTCTTTACACAAAGACATCTTCAAATGTCTAACTGTAGGAAAATCCAGTGGAAACAACAAGAAAATAAAGTTGAATAAAACGAGGATAATCGATGAGAAAGAATTTGGTATTCAGAAAATTACTGGGAAAACTTTTAAGTCGCTGGCTTTACGAGAGTCCGTGGTTTTCTAACAATATAAATTGCGAATACGATATAAGAAAAAAGACAATCTGCTTCGTTATTCAAAAGATAAAATATTCATCGCAATTGTTATAGCAGCAGAAAGTATCTTACTACAATGTTATTTTATCTACTGATGTATGTATTAAGCAAGATAGAAGAAAATGGCAAGCGAGATTCTTTCTCACTCTTAATGATTCTAGCAATTATCTTAATAATATTAGTCTCCAGTCTCTGGAGATATAATAACTAGAGATATGATAATAATTTATCTATATAAATTTACAGAACTAAGTATTGTTATTACTTTTTATGTTATAAATTGAGATTTAATTCTAATAATAATTTTTTTATGTAAAAAAGTCACAATACGTATAAAATTCAGAATTAATAACGTTTCTAAAGTCAATGACAGGATGTTTAGGGACAAGATAGAAATATAACCGTAATAATTCTGTCGAAAAGTTCGATATTAAGATATTAAGATATTTGCATTAAAAAAATTTTTATGAAATATTAAAAAAATTTAGTTTGATACAGATTTAAAAATAATTTTATTAAATCATCAAAATAACTGATTTCATTAAATTTTAAGTTACACAATTTGAACTTAATTTCATGACATTACAATAAATTTAATGTATTTATGACTAAAAAGTATATTTGTGTATATATATATAAAATTTAATGTATTTTTCATGAAAATTTATGAAATTTAATGTACACGTTCATTACATTTAAATAATTAATGTATCTTAATTTTCAGTTAAATCATTTATTACTTTTAATTTCGTTTATAACCACGAGCTTCATTTACATGTAAAGGAAGCTCGTGGTTACATTTCTAACAATATAGTGAAGAACGCTGCAAAAAATTTATATTCTAGCAGTTTAAACGCTCGATATAATTATTTTAATAAATACTAAATGAAAAAATGGCTAATATGAGTCAAGCGCAGTACTTGATGTGCAATAATAAATTAACATAAATTAGTTAAAAGACTTAAATGTAATTAATTAAATCGTATGTTTCAGCTAATTTTTCATATCATCTTCAGTGAGATTACAAATTGCGTACATCAAGAATACATTCTACTGATGTAGTTGCAATTTCTAATCAATTTGCTGAAAATAGTAACTGTTGATGCCTGACATATATATATATATATTATAATTATCGTTTTTTAATTTATTATTTGTACAATTTGCGAGTTCCATTATATTTTTTTAAAAATTATTTTAATAGTTCAACAAAATTATTTTCACATATACATATATCTAGCTAAATTTTTAGATACTTCAGCAAAATTATTTTTTTTTGTATATAATCTTTAATGTAAGTAACAATATCATTAACTTATATGCTTAAGAAATGAAAGATTTAAAGAGGTTAAAAAACCATCGACTTTACTAATTAATAGAAAAATAAATTATTATTATACTATATTAATATTCATAATAGAGTTTTAAGTTTAAACTTTGCGTAATATACTGAATTAAAAAATTTCCGATAACAGAAATAACTGTCGATAACATTTAATTATTGATACAAATTTTTTACGCTCTCTCTTTTACTGTAATAAATATTAATTTAAAAAGTTTGTAATTTGTATGTGTATGATTTTTTTATAGATACAAATGTTACTAGATTGTAATTTATAACATTTCATAAAAATTACTGCCATCATATTTTGCAATCGCACTAATGGGAATGTATAATAATGAATCGAACGTTTCACTCTTTTTGCAGATTTTGCAAAAATTTAAAAATTACTGATGTAATATATATAAAGTCACCAATAGATGTATATTAAGTGCTACTAAATTTGCTAACCTGACAAGCCACTGAAAGGCGTAACATTCACGAAAGATTGCAACGTCCGAGGTATTTTCGAGCCAAGCCAATAAATTTTATTTCAACGTCAATACCGTTTCTAGCACCGGCGTTAAATATCGCGGACAGCATTGGCAAGCTCGAGACAGGCAATAATGGTAGTTTGTAGCCCTACATATGCGCTTTTACCCACTTAACAACCTTAATAGCCCTGTAGCACAAGAATAGCGGCGCGTGGCGACGAACGGCCAGCATGACACAAAAGTCATCGATGACAATACCTGCGGTAGTAATGGAAATGCCATCGCGCGAACGCCAACCATCCTCACAATCAACCCAGCCGACGACGCGGCGGTGGGACTATGACGGCGCGGCGCGCACAAGGGGTGGCACGCGGGTGGGTGAAAGCCGGCATGGTTGGGCATCGCAGCGGGGGGGTGGTGGTAAGAGTTGACGTCGGTGGTCGGGGGCTGATATCTAGCTAAGCGCTGGCGCAGTTGGGTCGCGGTCTCCACCACGGCAGCATTTCGCCCACCGGTCTCTTTACGCATCTATCTCCCTCTCGCTCCCTACCCCCTTTTATCGTTCCCTACCTACCCCACGACCTCTTCGCACGACCTCTCTCTCGTTGTACCCCTCCTCCCCCACCTGTACGCCCTTTCGCGAACGGGTGCATATACGACACCACGGGTGCATAACACCCTCTGCGTCCCTCCGCTCGCTCTCGCTGCCTATGGGTGAAGGTGTCGCGGCGCGATGCGTTATAGTGTAAGTGCGGCGTGATGAATGAACGGTATTTTAGAGGGACGGAAGTGGCGCACGGAAGTGGTCCTACCTAGAGCCCTTTCGCAACGATCGTACGTCACCCACCGCACTGGCGACACACAGGAATCAGAGGATCCCATCCCTGCTAGCGAAGATGCAGTTGCCCACGTGGAAGTACGGACCAGCTGTGCTCGAAGGATTTAGTGACGCACCGCTTCTCTCTCTGTGATTGCGCGAATCTTGTCGCTCGGTCCTTTATTCATAACCGCGATAAGAGCGAAAAGGTGCTCCACCACTGCTCCACGTGAAGACAGATTTGTGAAATGTTCTCTCTAACGAACCGATGTTCGATGGCGTGACGATGATAAAGCGCGTCGAGCGATTTTGAAAATTAGATGTGAGAACGCGACTGAGAGAACCCGTATAAATTAAATTGAAGAATGTAGAATCGTTAAATCGTCATTTATCCGTCATGAGTGTTTTCTGTGTTTCGTTGTGTGTGTGCGGATAAACGCGCGAATTCTCCAAGCGCAGAAAAAACAAAAACAATGAATCGTCAAAAAAGCGAACACGTGACTTCAGCATGGTCGATATCTCGTGAATATTTCGTGGGAAATGCTGCTCGTACGTATAAATCGCCATTCTTAAAATTCCATTCTACCATAACCGCGAAGCATACTTTGTGCTCTCAGACAATTTGATCATTTTTCAAAAGAAGAATTCTTTTCATGTAACTTCTTTATAAATCTAGATATTAATATCGTTACTTTTACGTAATATATATAAATAATTACAAGCTCATTCGTTCGAAAGCAAAATGTTAGTCTGAATATCTTTAAATATTCTTTAGCACCGATTGTGAATACATTAATATTAGGAGTCAATTTTCAGCTTCTAATTATCCGTGATGTATTTTTTAAACAAGTTTATTTAATATCAGTATTATTATCAGTATTAGAGCAAAACGATCATACCATGAATTCTTCAACGGCTCAATAATGGCTCTTCGGTTAAACTATCTATTTATGCTCTTTGCAGCAAGATCGGTTTATAGCAGTATCCTCGCATGCGGATCCGGACACATTCATTGAAATCCAATGACAAGTGAAATTAATATCCCTAGCTGTGTTATGTGCATACCAAATTAGTTCTGTCGATTATGATTTGCTGGCCGGTAACACCCGATTGGGTAATGGATGCGCGAATTCAATTGAACTCACATCACGTTCGTTTTCAATCGCGCATTCCGCAGCGCGTCACTTAACGTAAACTTATCGAAGGACCAATAACATATATCGCGCATTTGGTCACATATTGTTGATTTCGCTCGCATAGTTTTTACATAAAAGCAAATAGCACGTACACTTTTCAACAGCGAATAGAAACGACATCACGCGCAATGCGATTAAACGCACTTGTCTCTCTTTTCCCCATTGGTGCTTGAAATTGTTAATCGCGGCAGAAGTAATTACTTTCCCGAATAATTGCGTACATTCGCGCATGACAGTCCGTTGCATAATTCGGAAAAATATCAAGTATATCGTTGTATATGAGATGGTTAACCTGATCACGGCGATGATGTTAATATGAGGTTAATTTCTATATTTGCGTGCTAATCATTTAATTATCTAAAAAGATCTATGTATATATGGATTTAATTTCTCAAGTAAGAGAAAATATAAAATATAAGACTTTTACTTTGTCCTTAATTTCACGATGCAATTATTTTATCGTTATCAATAAAATTATAATATTTTTGCGAAAACTTGAAAAAAGAGCAAGCTTTGTTCAATTTACAAGCACTTGTTGGTTTGGAAAATATATAAAAGTACAAAGTATTATCAATGACTGACGGAAATAATACAGCCAAGTGGCAAGTGTTGCAACTGTCAGTGAGCGAAGTGAATTCCTTTTTACTGCCAACCAGGAAAGCACGTCGCCCTCAGCCGACTGTTGCAGCTTTGAAGGAGCAGTTGACGTGAAATGTATCGGAAACGATGGACTGTGAAAGCGTTGGGAATGGATTTACAATATAGCGGCAATGGGACCGGTTGGTGCAAACCTTTCAAAATGATCTGCGTTTTCATCCTCTTCATGCTGTTACACGGTAAGGATACATCGAATTTTTATTGTGTGTGTTAGATGAAACATAAAATATTATTTAGCCAAGTACAAATTAACGGCTACATAGAGTCAAACGCTGTTTTTGATGCATCAATTATGAACAAATATATACCTCTGTTGACAAATATACCTCTGTTGACAAATAAGAGAACAATATATATTAATATTATAGCATATCAACATTCTCTCTAACATTAATTAACATTTGTATATTATATTATTGCTGATGATGGTCCCAATAATGGAATCGAAACGTTCGAATTTTTTGTATAAAAGGTATATTTGTTCATAAATGATGCACCGAAAACAGCTTTTGACTCTATATAGCCGTTAATTTGTACTTGATTAATTATTATAATTTATATTTAGCATAAGGAATTTTTAATTCAATTAATTTTGATTATTATTATTCATATTATTTAGCATATTTTAATAATTAAATTATTTTTTTTAAAAGTCAGATAAATCACGATAAAATTAAAAATCTATATAAAATATACATATATTAAAAAATCTTTAAAAATCTTAATAATATTTTATTACATCGAATATCTTATCTGCTAGAGATGAAAATAATGATAACTTACTCAGTAAAAATCGCGGTAAATTATCCGATAATTTTAAAAAACTGGTAATTTAAAAAAATTATAGAAATAAGAAAATTTCGATTGAAAGTTCAAAAAGAGCATTTATAATCTTTGACTAAAATTGAATAAAATACTTTATCTAACTAATATTTTCTAATAATTTTAATGCAGTAATTATATATGTATATACACAACTTATATTAATTAGTTACATAGTAACTGGAGAAATTAAAAAAAAAAATTTTATGTTAGACTTTTTAATATAAAAGTGTATAGTCTTAAATTATTTTTCATATTTTATATCTTACAAGCTTACATAGCGATTACATAGAGACTGTGGTACCATGCCATATAACTGAAAATTTTTAATATAAAGAATAGAAATGAAAACATTTTGTAAGAGCATGATGAGAATAGATTTATTTAAGTTATTTTCTTTTAAAATCTCTAAAAATGTTTAGACTTAAAACAAAATATATATATTCAGATATTGGAAAGAGGAAAAGCAAAGCTTCTGAGTGCAAAAATTACAAATAATAAACAGATCTAAGAATTTTTTTGTATTTTATGTGAGAAAAACATGATTTGTGCACAAAACTATAACGAATTTTATTCAAATTAACAATAATTTTGTTTTATCGTAAGTAATCAGATCTCGAAATTGAAACTGGTAATTTTACATTTACTAGTCGCTATAGAAAAATCTATAAACATTTTGAATATATAAATATAATATACATCATTAAAGATATTAATAAAACGAAAGAAAAATAAAAATAAGAAGATTCGATCGCAAAAGTACATTTTAATTAACTATATTATTAAATTCTGGATAAATAGTAATTTTGTCAACGTAACATATACAATATACCACGCGAACACACTATGTAATGTCAATAAAAATTCTGTCCATCATACGCGAATACGCGTATCATATTATACGCGAACAAAAAAAAAACACGTTGTTGGAGAGTAGGACCACAAACGACGGTCGTACGAATCTGGGGAGAATATACACGAAGAATGACCTGGCGAATGTTGTTACGGTGGAATACAACAACGTTGGGTGATGTGTACAGCGTTTTAAAAAGCGTATATTCGACAAGCATGCTCGTTCGCATGGAGTAGCTTTTACGGTACAGCACCGCGCGCGAATCCACATGCCACCATTACCGGAATTGCCATGAGCATATTTTTCCATTCGATAAACACCGTTGGGCAAACACAGCGAACGTTGTTGCGGTGCTGCGATAACATTGGGAGAAATTTTTGTACGTTAAGGCGATGCGCGAGATCGGATCGATGCGTCTACATGTTTCACGCAGTATCATAAATTCTCCGTTCGACAGTTTGATATTTATTTAACATGATGATTTGTAATAACAAAATGTATGCTTGTACCGACAGCAAGTTTACAAGGTATCCTATATTTCGAGTTATATAAATTCAAACTAATCCAATTAGATAGGATAATAATGGTTAATTATTAATTGTATACAGTTACCAATATACACGAACCTTTTTTTATTCAAATTTCCAAACTATCCCATTGTTCTTGATATAATTCAATGCTATTATGTTTACTATAATAATTACATGAAATATTTCATGAAATGAAAATTATATGAAATGTCTCAAAAAATTACGACACGACATGAAGTGTACGAAACCAGCGAATTTTATGAGCACGATTTTACGAATAGAGAAAAGCATCGCAACGTCATATTTCCGCGAAAAAGAGAGTAAAGATCTTGCCGCTAGCACATCTTTAAGTTCAGCTTGAAGGTGCAAGCTATGTTATTTAGTCGTCATAAACACGGATGCAGTGGTGTCGTCGACGTAATATCGTGCCAGAGACAATCTGTTCGAAAAGATGCCTTTACAACCGCGCTCTCCGGTCCGACTGTCATCAGACCGCAATACTCGCATCACAGCATGGTTTCTTCCCGAGTCTCATAAAGTCTCGCGCAACTGATTTTATTTGCTACAAGGCGCATCATTTGTGGCCAAACTACTCTTATTAAAGCGAATCCAGGGAATTTAAATTGTAGTTATGCAATTAAACTCGTTTCGATTGCAATCGATTCCATTATCGCCTATAACACATATATATGTGGCGCATTTTTTTTTATAGTTCGTATTTATTTAAATATATTTATGATTAGACTATCTATTAATCATAGATATATATTTAAACAAACAATAAAATAACATTCTCAGAAACAATTTGATTATATTTGTATCAATATATTATACAGTAGAAGACTGAATTATTATTATTCTTTTACACATTTTTTTCTTTGCTAATGAATATTGAATAACGTGCAAAAAATATTACGGAAATAGTTGTATATAAAATAATTGTACTTTGATAATCTTCTTGTATACGTAACGTCTGTATATTTCAAAATTATATACCTTTATAAACGGATTGTAACTTTTTATTAAATACACTACGGAGTATTACTCCGGTCTGTCACTCCGGTTTGCTACTATTCACATATCCCTCGGTTCTTTTATGTTTTGTTCGCGTTTATGCGCTTTATCATGCATCATCTACTATAGCATACTTTGCGTAGCCTGACACGTATATTCGCTCCGCAGATATGACATGAGAGTATAATAATGTGATGTTCGCAACACCTTATTTTATGTAAATAAAGTGACGTTTTATGGACAGCCAAAAGCAAATCTAAAGAAAAATTGACTCTTTTTGCTTATATTTTTTCTAAAATATAAAATAGACTCTGTAGTGTGTTATTAACTTTAAAAAAAAAAGATAAAAAAGGCGCCAAGTGTACTTCCCATAAACCCATAAAAAATTGTTACGTAAACAAAAAAAAATCGATAAATAATATAATTCAAGTAGTAATATTGTTAATTTTTTATTATAAATTCCTCAGTAGTACATATGCATGTATTAAAAAAAAATGAAATAAAATTTTTAATTTGCGCCAATTGCGAAAAGAACATATATTTTAATGCAACACATAACATTTAATTAACAAGAAAAAGTGATACGTATCTTTATCTTTCTGTTCAAGAGTCTTTTATATTTGCAATGGAATACAACATTTAATCTCAAAAAATTAAAGACGGAGCATCACAAAATAAAAAAATTTTATTAAAATAACATTTTTATGTAAAAAAACTTGACACGCTGCTAGATCTCAAAATATAATAAGTAAATGTTACATAAAGGAATTAAACAATGTTTAATTAACATTAATTAACATTAAAATTACAATCACAATTACAACTAAAATTATAATTAGGGGAGACCAGGGCTAAGAGACTTATTTTTCAATTTCGAATTTTTACAGACAAAATTAATAAGAGACTTATCGAAAAAATGAATCCAGTTACTACATACATTTGACTATTTAATAATATGTAATAATATTTTAATAATAAAGGAAAACTGATAACTAATATGAAGAAATGAATTTTTCTAATGCATTCCATCTAATTCAACTAGCTCCGAGATCGGAGTAATTCGACTAAGATTATTAAAGTAAAGATTAATGTTTTAATTTTAAGCTACATCTTTGGCTATATATTAAAACTTTGTAAAAATGTATTTTAAACACAAAATTCGCTTCGCAGGGCAAAACAATGCTTCTTTTTGCAAAATTTGTGCAAATCATTTTGTACAAAAACACATCGAATGAATCTAGTTTTCGAGATTGAACATGAGAAAACTAAACATTTACCACTGAGGAAAATCTCTTTAAAGGAATAAAATTTTGAGTACTATAAGAATCGTCACTAAATGAATCATACAATTCCATAGTGTGGTTAATTTACTATCCCAATCTGTTCATTTTTTAAAAACATTAACAATATACAATAACAAAGACACATAAAAAAATCTGTTGGACTTTATTAAGTAAGAACAACACTTACTATCTAAGTAGAAATCAAATATCTTAGACAATCGTATACGATTGTAAAACAAAAACTTTAAGAATAAAAATATTTACGATACGATATACGATTTTTTAAAATTGCATAACTTTTATCATAGATGTGTTCGCAAAACAAGATGTTACAGCAGACTTAGTGGCAGTCGCTGCTGCGAGTTCAGACACGTTTACGCGTGTTTTGTTTTTAATGTAGCCTCGATTATTCTATTTACCCCTATAGTCAACTGACCCCAGTCTCCCCTAATTTTAAATCTACTTTTAAATCTAACTTAAACCACATGTCTTACAAATCTAAAATCATTATCCTATTCTTAATTATATACGCTTTTACAATATATAACGCACGTCATATATTAAGTTAGATTTAAAAGTAGATTTAAAATTATAAATACTTATTCTATATTAAATCTAAGCCACATACTTATCTGAATTTGTTCGCATATATGAACTGCTGTATACTGTCATATTAA